AAAAGCTCCAGCAATACTTTGCTCGATCTGGGAATCGAACCCAGGCAGCCGCACTTACGACTCAATCAAGTCTCAAAGTAGGTATATCTCTCGTATTAATCTGTCAAACACCAAGCGGTCACCGGTGACCGCGACCCATTATTCTTTAATTGTGTCTATAAAACCGGTACTCGACGAGTTAAATCCTTATTGTTTCAATGAACAATAATAAAATCGTAATTGTAAAAGAAACATAGGACATTTTTATTTATCGTTTAAAAATTGGCAGTTGCATTTCAATCTACCACTCCTTACTCCAGATCAATCTGATTACAATACCAAATATACAAATAAAAAGAAATATACAAACCAACCAATCACCAATTCGATCGAAGATTCGGCAGTACACTCGATGAAAGAAGTGTTGACTTGCTCTCATTTCGTGACGTCTATTTTACTGACGTGCAAATATATCATTGCCATCTTTGGATATAATGATGTGATTTTTTGAGACACTCCGTGGTGCAATCTCAATTAGTGCGATGTGTTTCCTCGTTAAAATTGGCAAGTGAGTGCCGAGTACAGTTGTATACAGTCGACCAATACTTTCTTGATTTGTATGTGAATTTTTTGGAAGGAATTTCTTAAGGGTGTGTTTTCTGTAGGTTGGCGGTATGTGCAGTTTTGTGCCGAGTGTGGATTTAAATTTGTGTTTCAATTCGTGTGGTTAAGTTATGGGGTTTTATTTGAATATAATTATTAGGTACTTTCTTCTAATTTGTGTTCAGATTAAATGTGTTGATTCAGACACACAATTCAAGTGTGTCCGGAGTGATACCACGGCCTCATAGAACACCGACGTGAAACGACGTTTGTTTCGTTGTGTGAGTGAGGTTACCGGAAGCCTAACTACCCCCCCCCCCTCCCCAGTCGCCCACAATTCTCAAAAGGCCGGTGACGCATTACTATTCCAGGTGTACATGGGCTGCACCGATTGCTTATCATCAGGTGATCCGATTGTTCGTTTACCGGCTTATCCCATGAAAACGCATACTTATATGTGTAAATGTTTCTTTCCACTAAATATTAAAATTTTCCCATTTCTGTGGATGTATTTCACATACATGATGAAAATAGTTGTCATAGTCATTAATCACACTCAAATGACATTCTCATCAAAACGAAACACCTTTTGTGTGCACCAGTACAATTCAATAACACAAAACTGTCATTACTCGACTAACGAGGTACATTTCAAGTCGCGTAAACACCAACTATATCGGGAAACGGCCAGGCATTGCGAAAAAATTTGATTTGTTACTTTGACCGACATCACTTCAATTAAATTGAGTGACAAAAATCATGTTGAAATTATTGTTATGCACATCTAAAAGTCATTTCCTTCCGTATTTCTTAAGTACTAAGGTTGATTTTGTGTTTTATGAGGTGTAAAGGGTCGGTGTGACAATAAGAACGGTTGGAGATAATAATATCAATTAAATCAGTTAAGGCTTTATTTTGCTGAACCATTTTAAGTGGTTGTACTATTATTTACAAATTAATATCGTGTTTATTTTCTTTTAATGTTGGATTATGTCTCATTGTTGTTGATGATTACTGTAATTATAACGAAGTGTTTTTGTTTTTCCTAAAAATGACATCAAAACTTGAATCAAAATAATAAAATGGAACCTCTTTGTTTGTTCTTTGTGATTTAAGTAAAAAAAACATGCACCTCATTGCCGTAAATTTAAGTACAGGTAACTTGATTTTGTAATTTATGGAAAAAACAAAAAAATAAATAAATATAAAATAAGTATAGGTTTTTTTTGACCCTAAGGTGGGAAATTCTCATGGAGCCCCCTCGCCTAGGGAGGACGAAGTGGATTGTCATACACTAGGGCGGAGTCACATTCTTCCGCAGCCCAGTACATGTTAATACCAAATATTTTTGTTTTATATAAGACTGTATGAGATATAATGACGGTAAAGTATACTTAATACCTAATGACATTATCCAACAATAAACTATATTTTGAGGTACATGGATAAAACAAGATCACGGTGTTAGTAATAGTTCTCAATATAAAATCCACATAACAATACAATTATAAGCACAATATAACAAAACAATAAGAAGCATTGTATTGTTGACTAGCAAAGGTGTCGAAGTAAAATAAACAAACTACTTCAACTGTATCATATCGTCACTTTATTTAAAGTAGCCATCATTACCATACCGACATCCTGACTTACCAACACTAAACAGTAAACAGTGTCTCATCAAACACCCTGTGTAATCACAGGAAACATTTTCCTAGAAGCTTGTCAACTCATTTGACTAATTAAAAAGAAAACAGTAGTTCACAGTAGCCGCTCAAATTCATCTAAATATTATGACCATACAACTCAAAATGAACCATGTTTTCAGAATGTTAGAGTTCAGGTTTGAATGATTCTGAAATGAATTCATCCCAGTGGGTACACTCATGAATAGTTATGGAAAAAATCATGAGAAAATATCAAGAAATGTCTTGAGTTCATGAATATTTAGCTCGTCTGTTTGCTTGTAAACACTATTTGTCCGTTTGTCATGTTTTGTTCTGTGTTCATGGTATAATTTTGGATTTTTATTCCCTTGCTGCTCTTCTAAGTGGTTTTGTGTGGTTTTGATATGTCACGTTACATAGTTTGTTTGATAGTTTTCTGTGAGTTTGTTTGTGAATTTGAGCGTCTTTTTATCTGAGCATCTCAATAAATTGTGAAAAGAAAATTAAATTTCATTCAACGTTTATGGTAATCTGTGACAACATCGTGAGGAGTGTATTTGTTAAATATAATATTTTACTCACTCGTGTTATATTTAATATACTGCTGTTTATTGTCCTTGATAAATAAATAAATAAACGCTGCTTTGCGTTATTGTATTTACTGCGCCCTGATGATATTTCGATTACTATTCCTTTGTTATTTTCATTAGTTTATATGTTGTTTTTTAAGAGGTAACTAATTTTGTGTTAATACATTTTTTTCTATATAATTTGTACGCCGTAATGGCTAAACATGTCTGTACTTATGTTTTCTATACTATCTTGCATATATTCTGTGTGTTATATTCATATTGAACAAATAAAACTATCCCTATCTTTATAATAGTTAACCTGTAGACTCAGGTGGTGTAGAGACATCATAGTTTTGCCTGTAGAAAAACTAAATCTACTTATTGCCAATATAATTGTGATGTGAGCTTTTAAGCTTATCTCAGGTTTAGATTTCAATACCTAATTATAAATAAAACGACATAAATAAAGGCACTCGCTTTTTATTATTTTTTTCTTTCAAATATATTAAAAATTTACTTAAAACGTAAAAAAAATGTAAACTAGTACATTAAAATATCGTATCACACTGATAACAACAATTTACGTCTCAAAATTGATACTCATTACTCAGTACGTCAGGCTTACTTATTATAATTATAAAATGTCATAGTACATAGCAACACGCCTTTTTAACACCCACTTTTCCGCCAGAGTCCAGAGTAAGCAAGGACAACCCATTTGTTACATATCGGGCACAATACCAGATTAACCATAAAATATGAGAATATAACAATATCATAGCTCAGATCCGAAGTTCGAATTGAGACAATGTGACCAGCACTTGTAAAAAAACTCAAAATTGTATTATAATTATAATGATGTCGTATTTTCCTCAATTTGTACCATATTTCGGTAACAATTTTTAATATATTTTTAGAAATAAATATTATTATAAGTAAGCCCGTTCCTTGTACTTTATTGAACAATTCATTCTATTATGTAGCTATTATGGCCAAAATCATTTCAAAAATTTTCTATTTAATAATTTATTTACAAAAATTGTGACATTTTGACGACTATGTTATTATGCTCGTTATTGTCATGGCACCATTTTTAATTAAATGACAAATATACTTCAAAATTTCCTTGTAAAAATATGAATTGTAGGCAAATATATTATTATTCTAAACATGACACGTTTATTCCATATAATTAAAGCACAAATCGTAAAAAGTACTAAAAAAATACTGGCACCAGAAATATACTAATTCTAATAAAGTAATGGAATGAAATGAGCATTGGAATGTCTATTTTCTTAAAAAAAAACATCTTTAACAAAACAACAAAAAAATAATAACACAAGCATAATTATTATGAAAATAAAAAAAAAATAAGTACGCTAATATTAAACGCTAAAATCTTAGAAAATTACGTCAAAAATTAAAAAAAATGACTCAATACAAACTGGCCTAAAAACTAAAGAAATAAATACTTAAATTAATAAGTACACACAACGAATTATTTTTTACAAAGACTCTTAATTTGTACATTATAATTTTGAGCTTCATTTTTACTGGCCTATAATCCCATAAAACATTAAATAAATGGTAAAACATACACTGGCACTTGCTAATAGTGGGATGTGCCTAGACATAGCCTTTGGACAGAAAAAAAATAATTGTTTGAATCAAGAACCAAAATCTGGATGTTGAGCTTAACGAAATATTGTATCAGACCCAAAATATGTTATCAAACTCAAAACCCAGACTGTTATAATTATCTTAGGTGTTTAGGAATTTAATGTTTATTTTTCAGCCTCCTTGGACAATATTAGAAATCTAATTCGAAGGCACTTTTGGTGGAAACATCTAGAATTTTCTAGTTTCTGTTCTATTTATTCATCAACTAGGCTATATCTACAACACGTTCAGTAACATTGATTAACTCCTACCTACCATATACAATAACAATGTCTTCTATCGTATTCTGCTTCACTACTTAAGTCTAGAAGTCCATGACTTGAATTTATTCTACACTAATGCTAATTATGGTAAATAAGGTCAGGTAATCAAGAAGAAAGGAATGTAACCAGCTAAATACTGTATGGCGTGAAAGAGTATTAACAAGAACACTAAAATAACTATGTACACATAAATAGTAAAACGCGATGTACCAAATTGTACAAACAATACTAAAAACTTAACCAGTCATTGGTACCTCTTCTGATCTTTTCGGGACAAGAGACAGATCTAAAGGATTTTTCATAACTTCTTTACTGTTTTCCTCACTCAAATCAATTGATAATTCTGGTTCGGAATCACTAACTTCGTCGTTCTTAGGACTTCTAAAAATAACTGCCGTAGATTTTATAGAAAGATCTATTGGTTGATCTTGGTCTATCGCCACTCCGGCTACGGCTGGTGAGTGCAGGAGTAAGTCTCCACCGTTTCTGTTCTGCCAAGTTGCTAGTCCTGGAGGTGCTGCTCTCAAAGATTGTAACTGAACAGGTAAGTATGGAGCACTTCTAGGCGAGAAACTTGGTGGAGCAGAAACTGTTCCAAATGGCGATGGGGGCAAAGTAGGTTTCCGTCTTCTATCTTTGTTATGGTTTTTTAAAGCTTGTAACCGTACATCCTTGTCACTGCACGGAGACGACGCTGGTCGGAAGATACTAAGTCCACTAGTACTTCTAGAGCTGTTGTCGTCCTCAGGATCCGCTGACGACGCTCCCGAGTCAGAAGGTGATACGCTTTGCCGCGTCACGTCTTCCGTAAACGGACTCTTTTCCGAGTTTTTATAATATTCTGCTAAGGCCGCGGCTGGGAGAAGGTTCGTCGGTAAGTACGACGCGTTCAGTGAAGGATTGAAAGTAGGTGGCGATTTATTTGAGTTTATGTGCATATGCTGCTGTTGTTGCTCTTGAAGTAAGCAGTGGATCTTGAACCAGTTCGACCGTCTCCCGTACCGTGACCCAGACTTCGACATGCCGACTAGGAGACATTTCCGTAACCTGCAAGCTTTGCAAGCCGTCCTGTTCTTTTTGTTGATCACACATTCTCCGTTGTTCTTGCACTCCGAAATCGAAGACAAGTTATTGTACGTCCGCCCGAAGAACGACTGAAACAAAAGAAAGTGCAATATTAATTAAACAGGCTTGTTGAGGTCATTTTTATAACGCTTTAAGAGAATATGATATATATGCAAAAAATGGAAATTAAAAAGGGCATTCGATTTTCTCGCGAAAACGACAACGCCAATTTTGGCGAACACGGTCGCATTAATTTAGTTTAAAATATCGACAGACTTCCGTCGGCATCGCATAAGAAACAACAATTTATAAACGATACAGTTAAAACGAATCATCCGTGGGCCCATTCAATTCGGTTCGTCCCTGCACGGAATTAAAAATTACATTTTTCAAAAAGTCATCATAAAGAGCAGTGCAAGGCGTATTAAAATCTAGGTCAACGCGAGTAAGGTCGTATCTCACACTTAATATTACGGAGGAGAGCATCGCTACGGGTTGTGTTGCGTCCCGCGACATAAGTAATGGGGGTCTTTTGCGAATTTTTGTAAATAAATTTGGAAGTTACCCCGCTGTGAGCGGTCTCGGGTCTCTTCTTACTCAATTAAACTCGTACAAAAGCGTAAAATATGTGATTGTGCTACAGTTTCACTGTGCGCCGCCGTGTGGTCGGTGCACTTTCAACAGTAAATAACGATGTGCCTCATTATTTTGGATTATAACAATATTTTGGAATGCAATATGCGATTATTGGTACCCATATCGTGGGCATCATACACTCGTGAGAATTTGAATTTTAATATAACTTAACTTTCTAATTAGGATCAGCGAAAATTATGGGTTTTAATTAAAACGGCGGAAAAATATGTTTGTCCTGTGAAATATTTTTTAAGTTTGTGACCGATCGAACGATAAGAACGCATTTGAATGTCTATGACAAAATAGGAGGCAAGGTCGTAACAAATTACGTTAATCAAGATGTCTTAGAAACTGTAACGAGACATTTTCGACACCCAAAGATAAACATTTATGGCTGCGAGTACCGGTTTGGTCTCAACAAAAATTTTGTGAACACGTATTTCACCTTAGCGGCATAGTGAGGTAACTAGCAGTAGCATTGTTAGTCACGGTTGTGCACTGTGCCCTTTTTGACTCGGCCGGGAGAGTAGCGGGTAAATTGAGGTAATTTCGCGAACGCATGTATGTGAGTCACTAGATTAGAAATTTCTGATAAGTCCGTCTTCCTTATGGGCGAGCCGCGTTACAGATTGTGCTCTCTAATTGAGGGTCGTTGCTTAGTACGTGATGTGATTCTCTTAAGTTATTATGCGAAATAATCTTGCAATAATGGGCAATGTCCATTTTTTCTCAAAGTAATTGGAGTTTATGTTGATATGGAGTTGGTATTCTTTTTTATGTTCTTTTTAATGTAGGAGAAATTTTTGGATCATTAAAATTGTATTAGATATTATTTGAAACATTTTTTGAGGGAAGTTTCTTTCTTCATAAATATTTTTTAATCTTTCTAGAGTAACACGTGCAATGACCATAGCTACGACGTTTCGAATTTGAGACCAGACATCTTGGAAGCCAACACAGTAAAAATTTGTTAAAAAAAAGATAACAAAACGTGACCTAGATCAATATTTTTAGAATTCCATAATTCACCCACTTTGAAACTCGACATACTACGTTTGGTAATGACCATAATATAGAAAAAACACGTTACATCCATATAAAACCTATTTGATCCAAAAAGAACAGATTAGAGTACATAAAAGTACATAAAGGTGTAAGAAAACATCGCAAAACCCACACACATGTTATAAATTTTTTTAAATGTCGCAAGATGCCCAGTGGCGCCATCCGCCACATTAGTCATGAGCTACTAGAGTGATTAACATAATATCGTAAAGCAATGTCATCGATTGATAATCGATTTGTACTACTCGGAGGTCTGTGATACCCCGGAGGAAATAAGTGTAAAGATTTATTTGGATGATGTGTAATGCATGCAAGTAGTGGTTTATGCTAGATTAATTATCCACTCATAATGAGGTCTGATATTTTTCATTATGATAGTAAACCTTTTTGAACACAAATCTTCATGGATGCAGTCAATTCGTTATTGTGTTCTTTATAATCGGGTAATATTTGGTACCTACTGTCTTCTGTATGTGGCAAAAAAGCTCAGCTTTGGCAAAAAAAAAAAGAAAATTGTTAGAAGCCTAGATAAGTACTTAGATTATAGTCAATTTCAATCTTAATAGAACCTTAAACTTTTCTCTTGCATCATTCCTGTCTCACATATTTTTCTTTCTTTCAGAATATGAGACCACAAACTGATCTAAATCAAAAAATGACAGTAAGAAGTAGCGACAATTCATATTACATTACACTAAGCTATGCCCACGGCTCAGATAATTTCGAGAATGCAGCATCAAATGACAATATCACTGACTTTTATATCACCCAAGTATAATTTATGGCCACCATACATACGTCAAAATGCACAAATTAACTGGCCAGTATGCAAATAAGTTGTAAAATCACCAAATTAAGTAATCTCTTTGATTTATTTACGATTTACTGGCGGTTTTTGAATACGTTTACGGTATTGTTTTAATGAATTTGGGCGGCTTTGTTTCTTTGGTTGTGAGGTGTTTATGACATAGCATAACATCACGCCTTATTTCCCCAAAGAGATAGGTAGAGGTGCATATTACGGCACTTAATGCCACTGTACAATGTAACGCCCACTTTTCACTATCTATGTTATGAGTCCCGTGTAATAGGGGGTGGATGCCTATTGACATAACTATACCGGACACATTTCCAGATACAATTCTACTACTAAGAATTTTGTTTAAACTCAATAATATTTTGCCCAATCTTCGAATCGAACCCGAGACCCCTTGCCCGGCAGTCGCACTTACGACCACTCGGCCAATGATGCAGTCGATGTTATATGTATTATTTTTCAAAAATCATTGTAAGTCAAACGCACGGACCACGAGTCCCTAGAAAATGAAATTGAATATATATCAAAAAGAGAAGAGGTTATTTCATGCGATAACAGTTTTCTGTGTCATGTCATTCATCAGACGTGTTAGCCCTATAATATAAAATAAGAAAAGAACTAGAGAAAATTTCACAGTACATATTTACTTTAAAAGTTACGCACAGAAGAACTTTACACGCATAATAGACTGGCTAGAAACACCTTGTTACGATTACACAAAAAGTATGAGCACCATAAAGTTAAACCGATGCTCGCCGATAAACACTGTTCCATGTCTAATTAAAAATGTTCCTCAATAGACAAGCCTGAATGGATAAAGTTTATTTGAAGGAAAGTGCAGTAGGACCAAGCAAAATTATTTTATTTTCTGTTGCACAATTTTATTTTAGACACTTTCTTTTGCAGCGGCTCTTTTTGCAATGTTCTTTTTTTAAAAATAATATGATTGTTTATAATACATACACAAAAAAAAAGAAAAACATACAGTCGAATTGATAATCTCCTCCTTATTGGGAAGTTGGTTAAAAGTAAGTTGAATACAATAAAAAAAAAAAAATTCTATTTAGGTTATTCTTTTTCAGGTCATGTCAAGAAATATTTTAACTATAACAAACTAGGCAATCGGTACTACATAGAAGTATAAATACGTCTATCTTTTGCTAAGCATTGTATAACGCTATTCTGATGATAGTAACAAGAAACAAAATAGGAACAGGGAAGTATACTAAATTTTATTTTAATGTCTATCTGGTAGATTAATTTAAAACATAAGACACGTATTTTTTCTTTTCTTACTAAATTAAATCCTTTCGACGTTATACTGATTTCCAATATCGTGTGATGTCACGATTTACTACATTTTGGGTAGCGTAACGACCTCCGACTCCTAAGCTTAACTTCATTTTGTCTAAGTATTATATTGTTTTCTTATAAGACAAAATAAAAAATACATGTCTAATATTTTTTCATTATCTAAATGACGGACTAATTACATTTTTAATTTTTATTTACTGTCCACTACACTACTACGTATATTTACAATGGATTTTCTGATATATCTCCCAGGTACAATATAATAAGATCCTACTTAGCCTCTTGTTTACGATAATATGTTGGAACCATATCTGGTTTATAATAGATGAGGGGTACGCCGTACTTACAAACAAATTGTTTGTTCCTCGCGTACATTTAATAGTCGTACGCACAATGTGATCAATATCTTGCGGTGTATTTACTCAATTAGTCTTAATGACTTATGAAAATATAAAATGGTAATTTGTGGGTGAAAAAAATATTACAGAGATAGGAACATTGTTTTAGTGGTATCTAGTAAGAATGTTGTTTTATATTTTTGTAATAACTATCGTGAGACATACTAAATTAACTAAAAATCGCGAAGAACAGAGGGGTTCTTCCTCATAAGCAGGGTGCGCGGTCGCGGCGATGTCGCGCAGCCTAATCCTCTGTGGTTCGAAACTGGTAAAGCTTTTCTCAATATATTCACGTGAGTAACCCGTGATTTTTAGTTAATGTTGTTTTATTTTGAAAAACTTCCCTACAGCTTTCAGTTACGTAAGAAAGTGTTTGCACTGTAATCACTTCCACGCGCTACTCTTAGGACAATTATGTTACCATGTTTTGACTAAAAAAATAATATAATAATATAAAATAATAATAATAAAACCTCAGTAGTAGCACGGAGTCTGGAATTGTGCCCGGTATATGGCAATAGGCTCGCCCCCTATTACATGGGACTCATCACATAATTAGTAAAAAGTGGGTGTTATTACTGTGTGCACCTCTGGCTATCCCTTCGGGTATAAAAGGTGTGGTGTAATGTTATATTATGTTATTTGAATAAATTATCTTTAGGTTGGTATAGATCTAGGGATCGAAAATCCAAAGGTTGATCCAACGTCCAAAAATTTCTAAGTGTTT